GTGTAATTATCAAGTATGAATTTATTGATGTCATTTTGTTATTTTTTTTTCATGGTGTTGCTGATTTCTTTGTTCCATATAATTTTCTGTGCTTAATTTTATGAATTGTATTATCATTTCCTTCATTGCAATTGTTTTTTAATTTGCTAAATATTTGTGCCTCTTTTTTATTTTCATGTGAATGTTTATTATTTTTCTGAGGTTACCCTGTGATTTTAAATTTTCTTTCCTATTTTAAAATAGACTATTCTGTCTCAAAATGGTCTTCACTTCCTCTCCATTTGGAAGTTCTATACCTACACTATTTACTCCCTCTTTTTGGTTTGTAGTTGTCCTCATTTACCAACTGATGTTCCTGGTTCCCTATTTACAGTCTTGTAAGCTATTTTACTTTGGATGCTTCTATAACTGGGTTATGTCTTCTACCAGTTGGTGTTCTAGCCACTTCTTTATCCTTTCCTTGAAAGCTCAGGGTTCCAGGATTATCTCCTGTATGTTTCAACTGATTTCCTGTTTCCTTGTAGCAGAGGGTCTGTGTAGCTTGTCTGCCTATTTTACCATCTTTCCAGAAGTCCTTTCTCTGCACTCTTGTATCTTTCATCCCTTTCCTCATTGCTGTTTTCATTCACAAAAGAAGGTGACAGGTCATCTTGTTTTATGTCTCCTTATTTCATATTAAGATAGAAGAAAAGTGGTGACCTGTGATCCCGTTACTGTGACTTTAGTTAAGTTTCACATTCTTTTTGGGCCTCTGAAATTCATTCTGCATAATGAGAGGCTGAATTAGATGATCCCTTTTGTCAAGGTTCAATGATGAATTAACAGCATCAATTCCTGAATTCAGGATCACCCCTGAGCACAACTATGCCTCAGAGAAGATCTCATCAAACACAAACTGGTAACTGGTGGTAATGGGCCTTGTATCATAATGATTGGTGCCTCCTTTTTTAGGAAAATATTGCAGGAGCATTTCAGGTCAGCAAGAAGTTTCTAAAGCCTGTGGTGAAGGTGATTAGAATTTCAGCCCCTGTGAAAGAAGCTGTCTACAACTATAGTATTCAGACCCTAAATTCCACAGAGCTTGCCAAGAAGGAGCTTTATCAAGAGATGGCCAAGGTAAGAAAGAGGCCCATAGTGGAAAACAGTGACATACTTGTACTCCAGAGTAATGGTAGTTGGCTAATCAATGAGCTCATTTCTCTCTAAATATTACCTGGAATGGCTGGGATCGCAAGTGTGCAGATGAATACCATCCAGCTAGGGGAAGGAGACAGGGAGGGGATTAGGTGCTGGGAGAGAGGCCCAAGAGTGGGCCTCAACATATGCTCAGATATGCATGGGTGAAAACCATTGCAGATTCCTTACCTGTAATGAACACTTGGTTGTTGCTACTCATGAAAGGTAGTTGTCACCCTTTAGATGGAAACATATAAATTAACTTTAGAAAACTGATCTTCCATAAAAGGCAACAATATGATCCTGGCATGGCTGTACAGTTCAGATAATTTGAATGCAGTCAGGACTGTCATTATGCCCCCTATTTGGAAACCTGTGACTAGTCAACCCTATCCAAGACTGCTGACAGCCCTTCAAACCAGATTTGTTTGCCCCTCATTTGCAGGAGCCAAGAAAAAGGTTCACATACTCACAAGAGTATCTCTCAGCTATGCTGGAGCCCTACGACTGGGAGGCAGAGCAGAAGAAAGCTGCTAGGAAATCCCGCCAGGCCTGGCTCACTGCCAATGGATTCCAAGTGCCAGGTCTTCAGTACAGCCATCACTCCAGGCTACCACCCATTAGCCATGCCAAAGAGCTAAAGGAGGTCCACAGGGAGGAACAGGGCATCAGGTGGGGGTGTCCATAGGGACCTCTTTCCTCCTAACTTATTTCCCCTAATTTAGGAATGGAAAGAAAATGCACTGTATGCTAACATACTGGAGCCTGTGTTGGACCGGACGAGTTGGAGCTGGGCCCAGCGCCATGTGGACTTTGAGCTGTACAAGAAGCCACCCCCTTTTTTTGAGCTGCCCTCTTCTCCAGCACTGAAGCCCAAAACAGGTAACAGATAAGATCTTTGCAAAACTAAGCCTCTTAATGATGCTGGCAAGCAGGAACTCAGTGCTACTTTGAATTTCCAGCAGAACCCAGTTTTAGATATCCAAACTTTCTATTTTGGGAAATCAAGATTAAGAATGAGTGATATAACAGGTTAACAGTTGGACTGCAACTCAAGAAGCCTGGATTCTAACCCTTTGCTGTCTACAATTCCAACTCATAGTGACCCTATAGGACAAAGCAGAACTGCCACACAGGATATGCAAGGCTGTCATCTTTACAGAAGCAGATTGCCACATCATTTTCCTGTGTAATGGCTGGTGGGTTTGAATGGCTGACCTTTTGGGTAGCAGCCAAGTGCTTAATTATTGTGCCACCAGGGCTCCTTCCTGGATTCTAAAAACCAAACTCTGCCATCAGGTCTGAACCCCTCCTTGGGTTTCTGAGGTGGTATCACTACAGAAGTAGATTGCCCAGCCTTCCTGGATTCTAGTTCCAGATAAAACACTAACTTCCTCTGTGATTTTAGGCAAATTCCTTCACTGTTTTTTCAGTCTGTTTTAGCTATAAAATGAGAGCTGGAATATGTCTAAGGGCCTTTGAACTTCAACACTGTGTTATCCATGACTTACCTTGGGATGCCCAGGCCAACAGCTTGGGTACAGAGGCTCTTAGCTTCACTTGGAACTTCCAGCACCCTTCCAGCTCCAAAATGCTGCCTGTTCTCTATCTGCCTAGAGGCTAGGAGACTGGAAGCATGGATCTTGCTACACCAACCCCTCTGAGTCTTCATCTGTCCATTTATGAAAACTGACCTCAAAATCATTTGTAGACTGATAGAATTAATTCATCTTTGTTGGTTAACAGAGCCAACTTTTGTTCAGGACAGAAGGGAGGGATGAGTTTATCTCACAAGGTTTGCCAGACCAAACTTTCCCAGAAGGCTAGACTTTCCCAGAAGGCTAGAACAGACAAACAAAATGGATTTCTTTCATTCCCTGACTCCTGGGGACAGCCAGTAACAGCTTCATAAAACAGATGTAAGTGCTAACAAGTTGTTAAAATTTGTTTTTCCACTTGCCAGGATTTGCTCCTTCCCTCCAGAATGGACCCTAGAACTTTTGGGCTACATGAAGGAAAAAACCTGCTATCTGCCTGTGTGTCCCAGGCAAAGAGTTACCACTGTGGCTCTTGAGGAAGGCTCCAGTTAAGACAGTTCACTGGGAATGCAAGGTTTGCCTTACTGGCAAGAGTCCTTCTTGGCAGGCTTCATTGGAGGCCTTCTCATTAAAACCTCCCTGGGCATTTCAGGCATCTGTGCATACTGCTGAAAGTGTGTAACAAAGTCATGTTGAGGTCTCCCTTCTCCCCTACATGTTTTGAAAAAAAATGGAGACTAGACTTTAAATGTGCTGAGGCCTTTGAAACTCGGGTAAATGAAGAGAGAAAACTGCTGCTGACGGGGAACTTACAAGTCACCAAGGCCTACAGAGCAGCCCCCCTTCCAGAGGATTATCCCCAGAAAACCCAGTAAGGAACTCCATGCAGCCTCCTGTCCCTGGCACTGTCTAGAGAAAATATATGTACTCTCCATTTTGTGCAAAATGCCTTTCTCCAATCATTTACTAGTCAACAAAATACTTTTAAGAACCTTGGGTTTCATCAGAAAGTTGTTCCAGAGTCATCATGTTTGTAAACTTTCCCTTTTTGAAGACAAGTTACCAAAACCTTGGCAGAGTGCTCAGCATCCGTCAGCTCCACTCTCAGTGCCCCTAACCTCCTCTGCTCACTTCTTGCATCCCCTCAGATTACAAAAAAAAGACAGATGACTCATATTTGGAGGAAAAATAGAAAGCCTGCCCTCCTCCCACAAGGCAACATCTCCAGTAGGCATTTTGGAGCTTGAAACTGCCTAGGAACCAGACCAAAGCTGGAAGCCTGCCAGTGCTAGTACACTGGGAACCAGTGTATGTTGCAAAGAACATCAGAAAGGAGTTCCGGAGAAATGCAAAGGCCTGTTACCGTTAACATCAAGGGTACCTTCTGGTCAGTCCTCTCTTCAGAGTAGAGGCCAGTTCTTGAAAAGAAGGCAAAAAGAAAAGCACCAGCTTGGTGGTTACATGTAATCACTAGTAATAGGTAATCTGTGACCAAGCAGCAATTTTATACCCATTACCAGAGAAATATCAAAGATAAGGCCTCACCATAGTCCTAAACTCCTTGGGAGACTGGACAATCTACTGCTGTACAGAAACCGCTTCAGAAACCCAAGGAGGGGTCGCAATGAGTGGAAATGACTTGACAACAGTGAGGTTTTGAGGACAGCTCTAAACTGGGAACCTCCCCCTTCCAATAGTTCGTTCTGAGGAAAAATATAACTAGCACAGCACTACTTACACAAAGAGCAAACACAAACTAGGACATTTTATATTCTTTATTAAGTAGTTCCTTGTACATGTTTTAAGCACCTTTTGTTCCTAGTTTAAATGAACAGCATATAGACAGCTATATGCTGTCTCTTGGAAAAGGTGTGATATAGTAGAAATGGCTCAGGCTCCAGCAGCAGGTCCCCTTCTCCATGCCATGGACACAGCCACACAAGCCCTAGTTTCCACTGTGATGTCACCTAAACTATCAGAATATCCTCAAATTCCAGATATCAGCAGTCCTATTTTCTCTCTCCACCTTTGTTCAGAAACTATGATCATGTTTAGATGGCAATGCCTGAGGACAAAAAGCTGTAGGACAAAGCCTAAAAGAAAACTCTGTCAGGCAAAGAGAAAGCCCTTCTGTCTGTAGACTTGGGGAAAATGGCTTCAACTTGTAAAATCCCCAAGTTCTCCACCTTGTGAAACATAGTGAGCTGTCCAGCAACTGGCTGGGGAGCCAGCTGATACCTTACTGTGGCCGAGGCAGGTGGCAGCAGGGACCATTGCCCCTCTGCCTCAGGATGTCCTATCCAGAGGGTGAGCACACAAGTAGGCTCGCTTCTCTAGGACTTGCTGGGCCACCTTCTTTATCTGTGCATCCAGATTTTCTGGAGAATCTGAGAGGAAAAAAGGGAATGGATGTTTTTTTTCTGCATTGTGATAATCAAACACAGCTGAAGCTAGGAGTTTTTTGTCCCACAAGTCAGCCCATCCAACTGAAGGAGCCCTAAAGGTAGATCTCATTGCCTCCAAACCCTCAGGAAGCAATTCTGGTCTATCAAGAGAAAGAGAGATAAGGATTTCACTTTGAGTAGCTAAGAGCTTATCCTGGTAATACCTAAAACCCCCAGATCTGTGGGGTATGGTAGGGAGAAGGTTCTTACAATTCAGGTCAACTAGAGGAGAAACCATTCTTCACTCTGCATAACATATACAGTCATGTCAACACCTTAGAGGTGCCTGGGCCAGTACCAAGAGCTAGCAGCTGCACAAAATTATATGCTGTATTCCTCAGCAAGTGCCATAATGCCAGCAGCCTCTCTACCCATCACCTGGGCTCAGCAAGAGACATGTGATAGTCTTTGGGCTAACAGAGTAAGGGTTAGAAGAAATAACATATGAACCAGGCATTCCAATATGTGGCCAAGTAGATATGGAAGAACAGCATCCCAACAAACTGCATTAATAGTATAAACAAAGTCCTGACATTTTCTAAGACAAAAGCCTGGGCTATCTGCAAAGAACTGCAAGTTCATTTTGGCTAGAGTACAGGCAAGTTCATTTTGGTTAGAGTACAGGTAGCGAAGAGTTAGGCAAAAATGTTATCACACAAATCAAGTATAATGCCTCCTTTCTTTGTGACCCTTCCCTGGGTAGCTTTAAGAATATGGCCAGGTATGTTAGGCAGACTCCAGTAGGGCCCAGAACAAATGTGACTGTTCTAGAACTGTATGTGCAGGTCAGTGCTCCTGTCTCCCAGGCACTGCTGCAGGTGAAGTCAGGCCAACCAGGAACCCACTCAAGGTAGAAGTTTGTGAGCCCTGGGGGCTGTCTGGACAGTGTCCACAAATTATCAAGACCAGTAGCTTGGAATCTGGTCCTCTCTGCTCTCCCCAAAGCCACACCACTTACACTTATCCAGCTGAGACAGGGTGAAGAGGTTCTGGTAATAAGCTTCTGCACAGAAGACGTTGGCCAACAGAACCTGATAGGACCGAGATGAGAAGGGATGACCACTGAGAATCCTAGTCTCCAGATGACAGGGCACCCCCTCCCTAGAATCTGATGCTGAGTTTCAAATAACAATACTGTTAGCCACAATGAGCAGTTTGGCTCAGAATTCACAGTCCTAGGTTCTAATCACAGCCCTGATCCAAACCAGCTCTGTCTCCAAGGGCAAGTTACTCAACATCTGAGCCTCAGTTTCCTCTGTGAAATGGGCATCATAACCCCAGGCTCTGTGGCTACTGTGGGATAAGTATATAAAAAGCCTGCCCAGTGTGGTGTCCATATCCTCCAAGACAGTGAGGCCTGGTAGAATCTTCTACTGGATGGGGGAATAGCATGCAGGTGAGAGCTCCTGGGCTCTGGGACCCCTGCCACTCACTCCATGTTCTTTCCTTCCCAGGTCAGAAGACTTGTAAAAGGAGTAGCTCTGTCTCCTGAGCAGCACAGACCCCCCAGCAGAGGTGATGGGGCTCCCAACAGGCCACAGCCTCTTCAGTTACCATCTGTGTGGACCCTCCTGATTCACAACCCTCTCTCTGTGACCACCACCAGAAATGGCAATCTTGGCTCACTGAACCCCTCCCTCTGAGAACAGGAGACCACCTCCACACACCCCCTACCTCCCCACCTTCATTAAAGTACACCTGGACAAAAGCCTGGTAGGGGCCACATTTATGACTAAGGCTAGGCTGGAGCTTACCTCATGGTCGTGGTTTTGGAGTCCAATGCGAATAGAGCGGCTGGCCCGTGACAGGACAGCTGTCATGCCATATAGATTGATGAGGATGTTGGCCACACGCTTCATCACCATCTGTTCCTCCACAATGGTCTGAAACACCAGAGGCTCCAAGTGGAAAACCGCTGTGTAGGACTATCCACCACCCTTAGCATTTATCCTTCAACTTTGCTCAGCTGAGCCTTGCATTAAAGTGGGGCCAATGATTCCCTTTACTTAGGGCTGGGTAAGGCTGCCTCACAGCTGTTTTCTGTCTTCCCTTCTCTTCTGTCTGTCTAGAATTAGGCAGGGGTCAAGGCAGGACCAGGTCCCAAGGACTTGGCTGAGACCAGAGGAAGGTTCTGAGTATACTTAGTGTCACCTTCACAATGAGGTCCCTCGACTCAGGCCTGAAATCAGGAGGGGGTACCCTAAGGTCTGGAGATCCTAGGGTTCTCAGTGGGCAGGGTTGGGGCTGCCCCTTTCCTGATTTCAAGGAGTCTCTCCTCACCTAGATGGCCCAAAGGAGAACATCAGTAGAAAACCATCACCCTAGCAGGGGTCTCCACCAGGCCAATAAGTATAGCCTCAAGGTAGACAAGACTACTTCTCCAGTCCTCCATAGCAAATCAAATGTTTTGTTCTAGGCCGGGCCCTAGAGCCTTCACCCAGAAATCCTTAAGTCCCACAAGGATGTTAAATTGCCAGGTATGAGAGCTGACGTCCCAAAAGTAGACTCCTGGCAAAAAGCTGTCTCACGGATGCTGGCCACGTCTTCCCAATCCCAAAGGAGAGCCTGCTGGAACCTTGAGTCTGACAGGGGGCCTGGTTACCTTGCCAAAGCGGAGCAGCAATGTCTCAACAGTCCGGCCAAAGTAATACACATTCTCCTCCAGCTTGTTGGCACTGTCCTAATTGGCCAGAACACAGGACCCAGCTCAGGACAAATTCTTAGACTCATCCCAGCCCATCTACAGCGGGCACAACCCCATCTTGAGAGAACTGAGAGGTATGTGAGTGAGAAAAGCAGACAGATGGACAGAGATAGAAGTGGAGGCATTAGGACTAGCTGATCCTCCCAAACTCCCCATGGAGGTGTATAATAGGCCCTTGGCCCTATCTCTTCTGGAAAGGGGATATTCAGCATGAGGACACCCAACCCCTCAACACCTGCCTAAGGCTGGGCCTACTCACCTCAAGACTGGGATGCACAACGCCCAACTTGCCAGTCAGCCCGAGATCCACAGTATGGCTCAGGACATCCCGAACCCTCCGGCCAACAGTCTCCACAATCGTGCTCACATTTCCCTGTTTAAGCTCACTGCAGAAAAGTCCATGGCCCCATGACCTGAGGCACCACTGCTGGTTCCCACTGCCCAGCAGCATGGCCCCCAGCATCCTTGGGGGTCCAGGTGCACAGTTCCTGCTCCCAAACTATCTAAAACCATAAAGGGACCAACTCAGGATCCATCTGCCTCCCTCCTCCTCCATGCCTGCCACTGGGCACCCAGTCTTCTGAGGTGGAGACACACGTGCTCCCTACACACAGAGAGAACTTGTCATGTTAGTGAGTCTGCCACATGCTATCAGCAGCCTTCACTTGGGCTCCAGCAGTACTTCCCATGGCTCTGTCATGAGGATAGGTGTTGGGGATAAGAAAAGAGAAAGAAAGGTCTAGGTAGAAAAACTGGTCTTATGTAGGGCTCAGAGCCTGGCATCTGTTGGAGAGACATCCTTCAGAGCTACTGAGGAGCTGGGAAATGGACTTCAAGATGGGGTTGGAGGGCAGTGTGCTATGAGGGCTTATTTGGGCAGCGGCCTTTTCTATTGCCCACAGGAGAAGGCCAGGCTCTGAACCCTAACTCTCAAGACTTGTCCTTTCTCCATCCAATGGTCCTACCTTTCCCTCCTCCCTCCTGCTAGTCTAACCTAGCCAGCCCATGAGAGTGCTGCAAGGCTGTACCCACTCCCTCATTCTAGACAGAGCAGCCCTTCCCTTATATCATCCCAGGTAGGTGGGACCCCCCAGGAACCAGACAGCAGAAACAGCACCTACTTAATCTTTGCAGTCAGAATGCGGCCAGCATGCTGCAGACCTGTCAGGGCGATGTACATCCGAAGAATCTCATTGGTTCCCTGTAGCCAGCAGTGCAGAAGTCAAATGGTGCCCCCATCAGGACTGCTGAGCCTGCTCTGGATCTGGTCTGTGAGGGCAGCCACTGCAGTGCTCCATGTACCTGGGGAGATGAGCCTCTGTGGCTCACTATCCCTCACTGCAGAAGCCACTGCTTCCAAAGCATCAAGAAGCAAGGCTTTGACCAGGGCTTGAGGGGCAGGCCTTGGCCATGGCAAACACAGTTTACTACTTCCATAGGGATCAGAACAGTTGGCCATTGAGTCTCACTGGGACCACCTCTCTATCCACAGCATACAGGTATCATTGCTTTCCCTAAGCCTCAGATTTCTCTTCTTTAAAATAGGGAAAACCGCTTCCTCTGGTTAGTGAGGAACACTAACGCCTGGGACATAGCAAGTACTGGACAGACTGCAGCTGGCTCTGGGTCTAGACCAGATTCTTCAGGGGAGCCACAAACTGCAGCAACTGTGGCTACCTTATGCCAAGTCCTAACACGAAGAAGACCCCCTCTGGTTTTGCAACCACCCTATGTGCAAACTGTCCCCCATCATCCAGCATTGCATTTGCTCACCTATGAGGTGAGCTAAGGATCTCTGCCAATTTTGCACAATGGTACTGCTGGTCAGAGAGAGATAGGAGCTCGATTCAGGCCACACAGCTAGTCCTAGGAATTGTATCCTTGCAGCCAGGCTAATACCACAAAACTAAGTCCTGAGCTGCTGACTGGCCAAGACTATCAAAGAAGAGGAAAAGGGAATGCTGATGCCTCCAAGCAAAACCATCATCATTCCTGAGCAGCAAAGCCTCCAGACAAGAGCTTCTAATTTGCACTGAAGGCTCTGCCCTCTTCAAAGATATTTTGGCCTTGAGAGCTTCCTGAACCCTCCCTGGCCACCCTCACTCAGCCTAGAGGAGTTGACCACTAGGCTAAGCACAGACCTTGGGAGAATCAGTACTGGGCACATCTCAGTGCCCTTGGGAAACAACTCCTCCTTGAGCCCTCATGCTATACCCTACCCTGTCTGTCCACCAAGGGACAAGAAAACCAGGCAGAGTCATGTAGATCATGAAAGGGAACAAGACTAGTCACTGAGGCTTATCAACTTTGTATGATAAGCCAGGAGCCCCCTAAACACATTTTAGCACATACTTCAGGTTACCTTCTGCTACCAGACAGTGTGAAGCAGCTCCTCAGAAACCTGAGCAGCTGCTCCCATCTCTTGCACACCCTATATCATTATAAACCTCATGCATCTTTTCTCCGCAGCAACCAATGTCTACCTCCTGCCTGCCATTGGGAGTTCCCCTGTCCTAGGCTAGGCCCTCATATCTTTGGCCTCTGGTCTCACCTCTAAGCCCATCCTCCACATCAACCTCCAGGAAAATCCTTCTAGACTACAAATGCAACCAAATCATTCTCTGCTCAAAAACTTTATGGTTTCTACTGCCCTCACCATAAGACCCATATTCCTCTGCTTTCAGTCATGGTCCTTCTCAATCTGGCTACTTTTCTACCCTTCCTACCTACCCCTTGCAGCCCCCACCCCTGTACCTAACTCTCCATAACCTGCCACACTAAGCATGGCTGACCACTGATCTCAGACACACTTTCTTACTCTCCTTCTGTTCAGCTCACACTACCAGGTAAGGTACTACCTGAGCCTGACATTGTCCTATTTCCCAGTGCTCAGCCTGAACTGCTCTTCCCTGCCATAGCCAAAGTCCTTTCTGCTCCTAGAAGCCAGTACATTTGCATCATGAAATTTTATCTCCCTTCTGGGAAGTGTGCTCACCTCACTGTCTCTCATTGCACTTTGACCACAGGGTCCTCTCTGGCCAATTAGGCTGCAGAATCCAGAATATGAGTATCCCAAAGGCAAGGGCGGTGAATGTCTGAGTCATCTTTGTGGCCCTAATCCCCTGCCGCCTTGCCCTACCCCCAGCATATGAATGGACTTTTTAGGCTTTGACTTCACAGAGGGCAAGAAGTAGAGCATGAGAAAGTATCAAGGCTAGGAAAGCCCTTAGAAATGACCCCTAAAAGGTGGGGACCAGGTTTGCTGGTCCATTAGAGCCTGGTGGAACCACTGAGACTATGGCCCCTAGCTGCCCTTCAGGTCTGGAATTGCACCCACACCTGTGGTTTCCAGCCAAACAAAATACAGGCATATGAGTTGAACATTTACCTCAAGTAGAAACACTCCTTGGAGAAAACAATCTTGGGAGAA